TATTTCACATTTAGAAATTCTTCAATTCGAACGTCGTTTAATCGAGAGTTTAGAAATTGATACAAATAATAAATCTATCGAAAATAAGGACGAGAAATTGAATGATAGAGAGTTCATAGATAAATACAAGAAGAAGAATAAGAAAAAGAGATATGCTTATATTGGTCTAGCCACATTAGGTGGATCTCTTGCAATTGGTCTTTCAGCGGGATTATTGGCACCAGTCATTGGGTTGGGTATTGCAGGAGGGTTAACAACAGTTGGTATCTCAGGTACTAGTGGGTTCTTAGCGGGAGTCGGTGGAAGTGCTATTATCACGACAGGGGGGATTGTGACGGGTGCTAAAGTCGGGTCAAAGGCCGGTGCGAGAAGATTAGGCGATGTTAATACATTTGAACTTAAACCTCTATACAATACAAAGAGAACAAATTTGATTATTACAGTTAGCGGATGGATGAATGGTAAAATGGATGATGTAAGGTTGCCTTTCTCAACAGTCGATCCTGTCATGGGTGATATGTTTTCTCTATTATGGGAGCCTGAAATGTTACAGTCTATGGGTCAAACTATTGGTATATTGGCTACTGAAGCTTTAAGTACGTCTATCCAGCAAATTCTAGGAGCAACAGTGTTGTCGGCATTAATGGCTGCAATCCAAGTCCCTATGGTTTTATCTAAATTGACTTACTTACTTGATAATCCTTGGAGTGTATCGTTGGACAGGGCTTGGAAAGGTGGGAAGATATTAGCGGACACCTTGATATCTGGTAATATGGGTGTGAGACCTATAACTCTAGTAGGTTTCTCATTAGGTGCACGTTTAATTTATTCATGCTTAATTGAATTAGCCAAACGTGGTGGATATGGTTTGATAGAAAACGTAATTATACTAGGCTGTCCCATCACAATTAAAAATGATCAACTCGGACTAGCTAGATCTGTTGTTAGTGGAAGATTTGTCAACGGATTTTCAAAAAGAGATTGGATCCTAGGCTATTTATTTAGGGCTACTGGAGGCGGTATTCTGTCAGTTGCAGGCTTATCACCAATCGAGAGTGTATACGGTATAGAAAACATCGATTGCACTGATATTGTGGAAGGGCATATGGCATATAGAAAAGCTATTCCCAAGATCTTAAAAGCAATTAACTGGGAAATTTTGAGCGAAGAGTTCGCCGAAATTGAAGAACCTGATCCAGAACAACACGAAAGAGAAAGAAAGTTGGTCGATGAATTCGACGAAGCAAGAGCTAAGATGAAGGAAGAAATGGATACAGAAACAAGCAAGAAGAAGACTTGGAAGAATTTCTTCAAGCCAAACCAAAAGGACTGGTGGAATGTATACAGTGAAGGTAAATCTAAAGGCACAGATGCAAATGAACCATATACAGATCCGTCGGAAGAACTGAACCAACCCGATACTCAGACCAATAATCCAATCTTTGATGTTACTGCTTTACTTGAGGAAGCAAACAACATTGAACGTCTTGCTGAAAATGATCCAGAGACTTTAGAGACTATGAGAAAGGAGGTCGATACTAGCGCAAAGCATACAAAGCTCAATGAGGAAGTCGAAGAAGAGGAAAAATCGACAAACATAGTGAATTCGTTAGCTAATAAATTTGGTGTCAAAAAAGATGCTGATCCCGGTACCAAAGACTAATCCTCTTATGATGATTGCATTTTGTTATATATATATATATATATGTTATATGGTTTATATTAAATCAATACTCTTATTTACGCTGTAAGATTTAATCACCGTATTTATGAGCATTTATATGGCGAGAATTAAAATAAAAAATTATATCTTGACTCACGATGAAAAATCGAATTACTACTAGTAACTACAAAATTAGGTTCAAGTACAATGCCTACTATTCCAGTTGATAAAGAAGATCTTTTCGATCTATTAGGTAGATCATATACTACTGAAGAATTCGACGAATTATGTTTTGAATTCGGTATTGAATTGGATGAAGACACTACTGAAGAATGTAAGGGTGATGAAAGACCTCAATTTAAGATTGAAGTTCCAGCAAATAGATACGATATGTTATGTATCGAAGGTATTGCTCAAGCTTTAAATGAATTTTTGGGTAAGAAACTGTCCCCAGCTTTTAAATACAACCCATCGAAACCAGAAATTTCTTTAACCATTCACAAGTCAACCGAACAGGTCCGTCCATACGCAGCCTCTGCGATTTTGAGAAATGTTCAACTTGATGAAAGACGTTACGACTCGTTCCTTGCTTTACAAGATAAATTGCATACCAACTTATGTCGTAATAGAACTTTGGTGGCTATAGGTACCCATGATTTGGATACACTTACTCCTCCATTCACATACGAAGCTTTACCACCTTCAGAAATTAACTTTATCCCATTAAACCAAGAGAAAGAGATGGATGGTAACCAATTAATGGAATTCTACGAAAAGGATAAGCACTTAGGAAAATACTTACATATCATTAAAGACTCACCGGTATATCCTGTTATCTTGGACGCAAACAGAACCGTTTGTTCATTACCACCTATTATCAATTCTAATCACTCAAAGATTTCGGCCCAAACAAGAAACATCTTCATCGATGTCACCGGTACTGACAGAACCAAGACTGAGATTGTCATTAATCAATTAGTCGCTATGTTTGCCGGTTACTGTAAGGTGCCATTTGAAATAGAACCTATTGAAATAAAATCTGAGCATAATAAGCAAGATCGTATAACACCAGAGATCTCAGCAAGACCTTTTGAAGCTGAAATTCCATATATCAATTCTTGTTTAGGTTTAGATTTAAGTGGCCAAGAAATTTCCGACTTGTTGAAAAGAATGTCTTTACATGCCAAACCCTCTTCCAAGAAAGACTTGATTGACATTGGAATTCCAATAACCAGACCTGACATTTTGCATCAATGTGATATCATGGAAGACGCGGCTATTGCTTACGGTTACAATAACTTAACCAAGACAAAAGCCAAGGGTGACTCTTTAGTTGCTGCTCCATTGCCGGTGAATAAAATTGGTGACATATTAAGAACAGCCAGTGCTCAAGCCGGGTACTTGGAAGTATTACCTTTAACATTATGTTCACACGATGAAAACTTCAAATTCTTAAGAACCATAGACGACAACACTACTGCTGTCAAATTAGAAAATCCAAAGACAATTGAGTATCAAGTCGTCAGAACCACCTTAGTACCTGGTCTTTTGAAGACTATTAAGGAAAACAGAAAGCACTCTTTACCAATCAAGGTTTTTGAAGCTGGTGATATCGTTTTAAAGAACCCTCAATTAGAAAGAGGTGCCTTCAACCAACGTAACTGGTGTGCTATTTACGCTGGAAAAACATCCGGGTTTGAATTTGTTCAAGGTTTATTAGGTAAAATCATGCAAACCATGAGAACCTCTTGGTTAGAAAACCCAAAGGAGTCCTCCGATAGAGGTTACTGGATCGAGCAAGATGACGAAAATCCAAGTTTCTTCCCAGGAAGAGGTGCCAAGGTTTTCTTCAGAGCTGGTGATGGTTCCAAAGAACAACATATTGGTGCTATTGGTGTCTTGCATCCAGAAGTCATGGTAAATTTCGAAATTCCATATGCCGCTTCTTCTGTTGAAATCAACGCCGAAGTATTCTTGTAAATGTCTGTATAATTAGAACTATCTTCGCCAGAACTCTGCTGGTCTACGTGTGATCATTCCCTTTTTATCATTAGTTTAGAGTTAATATATAGTTTGACACCAACCTGATTAATATTACAATAGACACCATTTCCGTCTGCGCACTACTTTCATCGATTTGATAATAAATTCTATGAACTTGCCATTCTCATTTGGATCGTTTAACGTTCCAGCATAGTTGATAAGAGGTTATATTTTGTTATTATAAATCATCTATTAGCTATATTTTAATTATCTTAGGTTACCTTAAAACCAGTATACTAAAATAATATAAGTAGAAAATACAGCATGAGTGGTAGAGCCCCATCTAGATCATACGATATGATCATGAAATTATTGTTAGTCGGAGATTCAGGAGTTGGAAAATCGTGTTTATTATTAAGATTTGTTGAAGATAAGTTCAATCCTTCGTTCATTACCACCATTGGTATTGATTTTAAGATCAGAACCATCGAAAGTAATGGAAAAAAAATCAAATTACAAGTTTGGGATACTGCGGGTCAAGAGCGTTTTAGAACCATTACGACAGCATATTACAGAGGTGCCATGGGTATTGTATTAATCTATGATGTTACTGACTCCAGGACTTTTGAAAATGTTGAAAATTGGTACCTGACTGTGACTCAACACGCCAATGAAGACGCCCAAATATTTTTAGTTGGTAATAAGTGTGATGATGAAGAAAATAGACAAGTTTCAAAGGAACAAGGCCAAGAATTAGCATCGAGATTGAACATTCCATTCTTAGAAGCTAGTGCTAAGAGCAATGAAAACGTTGATCCTATTTTCTACGAGTTAGCAGGAATCATCCAAGAAAAACACGTCAACACGGAAGGAGCACAAACCGGTTCATCTGCCGGCGGAGTTGACGTTTCACAAACCCCCAATACATTCAAATCTAACTGCTGTTAATTAACCTTAATAAATAATGTTTTTAGCACTGTGCTTTAGTTTTGTTTATGTTAATGTGTTTTCGCATTACGGGCTACCTGGTCATCTTTGTCTCCAGTGTTTTAAATACAAGTTATTCAATCTGCTTAGATTTGTTATATATGACTATAGCTTTATTAATTGAATATTAGGATCTGTAAGATTGTTGCGTGGCTGTAGTCTCTGCGATCGGAACACTCTACCGCCAACATAACCGTTGATACTATTATTGTTATATTTGCTATACATTAAATATAAATGAAATTAGAAATACAAACCACTATGGAGAAAATTTTAGTTTAAAAAGTATAAACTATAATGCTAGGTTGATTGAGGTTCTTTCTGTTTTAGTTGATTCTTATTTATTCTACAATTCTCTAAATCTCAATTAGATCTTCTTACCAAAGTAGACCCATTGATCGTCTAATGGCTTTTCTTCTAATTCCTCCCAACATTTCATCAGACTCAAGTCACTTGCCAAACCCAATTCTTCGTGTGCTTGTATAATAATTTCTTCGATCAAACCACCTCCGATCTTGTTTTCAATGTTTTCAGTAATTTCTTCTTCTTGAACAATCTTTAATCTGTTTCTGGTCAAAGCTTCAACTGACTGTTTGTAGACAGATTCTTTTGGGAATTTCGTATCTAAAACAGTTAAGGTATGGTTGTATAAAGCGATTAATGCAGGTCTTGGGTTTGGGTGTTGGTAAATACCTGTCAAACCGGTTGGGTTACCACTTGCGGCCTTAATTAAAACCTCTTCTGCTTGTCTCAATACCCTGGTAAATCTCATTGTAGTCTATGCTGTTTATCTTCCGATTTCAAGTATGGCAAAGCGCTTGTATTAGTACTAATAATTAATTCTCAGACTTTGGTTGGTTGAATTTTTTCAAACTCAGATTACATAAGCTGGATCATAAATCTCACGTGCTGGATATGAAATATATTTCTACTTACTACCTGATCTACAGTTAACACGGTGAAGCACCAGACCTAGCAGTTATTGGAAGCTGACATGATTTCCGACGGAAAGATCAATCAAGCATTGGAACGTAGAAATTACCATCATGCTAGCATCTTCGTGACCGTCTTGGCATACGTCTGCTGTGTCGTCTTGATCCCATCATATTTCCTAAAAGCATACCACCGAGCATACCACCACCAATACCCATACCACCCATACCACCCATACCACCTACATGCATGTTTTGCGGCATTTGCTGCACGTACTGCTGCTGAGGTGCGAACCCTTGTTGCTGCTGAGGAGGATGCCCGTATCCTTGAGGAGGAAGTTGCAGTTGAGGGTGTGGTTGTTGAGGATTGGGTCTAGCCTGGGTTTGGACTTGTGATTGAGCACCGTTGGATGTAGTGGGACTGTAGTGGGGTGGCAGCATTTCATCACCATGTTCGAATGAGGGAGCTTCCCATTGCGACTTCTTAGTCCTTAAGTCGACGTAGAAAAAGGCCCTATATTTCTCATCGTATTTCGCTAGCCAGCCGTTTGGAACAATTGGGGGATTCTTAGGGTCTCTTTCTACCATTTTGATCCTAATTATATTGCATGGCTTGGTAAATATGGGTTATCTAGTTTTTAAGTCAGGCCTCATGATTATCATCGCGCGGCTCAAAACCAACCCATTACCCAGTCACTACAGATTACGAATATAATTCATAAACAGTGCCTACGCAGGGAGTGGTGGTTGGGCCTGGACCTCCAATGGAGATTGCATTCTTTTGCTTGGTATTACGTGTGAAGGAGCAAATATCTACATGAAAACCGTTCTACAATATAAATCATCCAGAGTGCCACATATGGCTCTAATCAGGACTTTTCTTTTCCCATCCGTAAGATGGCAGATCTTATCTTTGTATATACTGTTTATAAACTTTATCGAGAAATTCCAGTATTCAGAGATAGGGAACATCAAGCTCGCATAAATCATAAAATAGCCAACTCACGTGATTGACATATGTCTATGTTACTATATGTCTACTTGATCTACAGTGAACTTGATAAGGTGCCAGACTTGACCAGTATTGTAAGTATTATACATATAGGCAAAAGTTTATTATAGTCTAAATAAGGAGCGAATAAAACATATTGAATTGCGTATCTCAGAATATCGAAAATACTCAGAAATCACCACCACCCATGTCACCACCCATGTCACCACCCATATCATCACCACCGTTCATACCTCCATCTTGGTATCCATCATGATATGCTTCCATTTGGTTGTTGCCCATCATATTACCTAAAAGCATACCACCGAGCATACCACCACCAAGACCCATACCTAAGCCACCCATGCCTCCCATACGGGACCTTTGTGGTGTCTGTTGCATATATTGCTGCTGAGGTGGGTATCCATATCCTGGTTGAGGGGGATGTCCATATCCCTGGGGTGGATATTGTTGTGGAGGATATTGTTGTGGAGGATACTGCTGAACCGGGGGTTGAGTATGAGGTTGAACTTGTGGTTGAGTTTGTGCTCGAGCACCACTAGATGATGTAGGACTGTAAGGAGGTGGCAACACTTCATCAGCAGACTTAGGCTCGAATGATGTGCCTGAAGGTGCCTCCCATTGTGACTTCTTAGTCTTTAAGTTGACGTAGAAAAACGTGTTATATTTATCATCGAATTTGGCTAACCAGCCTTCTGGAACGCTTGGCGGATTCTTTGGATCATTAGTAACCATCTTAACAGTTACTATATTAAATGGGTAAATCAATTCGGGTTGTATGGTTTAAATAAGTTTTTCAGTTAAGTTTCTTGGTATGACTATTGTCGCATTGCTCACAACCGGTTCCCTCGGACAATCACATTGCCCAGGTCACGATCTAACTACAAAGAAGATGCTTTCTAGAATAAATAAGATGAATTCCTATACAGAAACCGATGAAACATCGGTAGATGCTTCCGGAAACAACTGGTTGATTATTTCGTCGAAAACTAGCAAAATTAGATGCTTGTCTAAAAAATCATTCTGAAGCATTTCGAATATGTTGTTGCATGCATATGTAGTGTTCGCTAAGCCAAATATTTTGGAACAAGTTGCTTGCATGAATATTTCAAGGAGGGCTTTAGCTTCTTGTTTTGTTGTTGATCTCTGATACGAGTTTCGCGGTTCTGGTGGTTCCATAAGCCTCCCCATGGGAAATATGATGTTTTTAACCCATATTAATATATCAAGCACATTTTCCTCGGTTCTCAAGAAAAAGTCTATCACCTCATAGGCTTTTTTTTCTAGAGTATTACCAAATACCTGGTGTAGGATGACTAAAAGGGCCCTGCCTCGTAACCAACTCTTTGGGGTATTGAGTCTAAAAACAGATATCAATAGGTCGCATATAGGTTTAACGAAAACTCGCTTTTCTATAGTGTTTGTGTGCTCCGACTCGTCAAACTGTCTCAACTCCTTTTGCATATCCTTCATATACTTTTCCATTGGTTGATTAGGCAAAGGAAAAGACTTATCCGCATCACCTAATGAGTTCAGTGCCATTTTGCCTGAGATACCGTTATAAAGCTTATTTGCAACTATCTCCACACTGTTTCTTAGTTTACTCAAATTGACATTAGTATTACCATCGATAGATTGGCTGTTTCTCAGAGAGAAGTTCTCAGAAGATAGAAACGATCTGAATACTTTGTTAGAACATACTTCAGGGATTTGTAGTAGCTGCTGCAAGTATTCTTCAAGCAAGGCTTTTCTTTGTTCGACTATTTGCTTCTGTTGAAACTTTAAAACCAGAACCGTTCTGTTGGGGAATTTTATATGCATTACCAGTGGATATCTAGACTTTAAATATTCGTTCAATCTGAAAAATTGACTAAATCTTCTGGCAACAATCCATCCAGCGGTAACATTTTTTTGATTATCACTGGATAATTTTTGTACTTCAACAATATAGAGGATATAATTCTTCCCATTTTCGTTATTACTAATATATGACTGAATACTTACCCGTGATTTCCCATACAAACTGTTATCGTTTTCTTGAACAATGAACTGCTGTTTCTGTAATTCCTTTGCACTAATTTCTCTATCTAAACTAACTTTGGATTTCCTCAAAATTTTTAATTCACCGATATTATTTGTGAGCTCTGCCTTTTTCAATAACGGACTTAAAACAGCCTGCTGCTCGGATAACTTATCAATTTCTTCATTTAATTTAGATATTTCTTCTGCTAGGCGGAGGTTACCGGGCGCTGCCAAAAATATTTGCAGGTCTGAATGAGAAGGGTTCAGTAAATCTATATTTTGATTTTGAGAGTCCGACTCAAAGTCTATCGAATCGCTGTCAGAGAAAGAATGGTCACTTATATCGTCAAATAGTTTTGAGTTTCTGTTACCATTTGAGATATTAATGCTGTCATCAGTAAACAAATTGGATGATTCACCAAATAAATCTTTTTTCAAATGTATTGTCAGAACTGGATTATTTGAAGTTGAAGTTGACTCTGCAATATCCGCAGAGGAGGAACGTAAATTAGAATTCTTTGAATCGGATATTAATTCACTCTTCTTTTGATCAGAACTATTCATAATTTGAGTAAACGCATCTTCTACAGCCTTGATAACACCAGGACTGACTTCATGTGCTTCACTTTCACTAGAATCTTCTAAAGTGCCACTTATTCGTTTAACATTCAGTTTACCAGACGAAGACCACGACATTGATGAATTAACTTCATCTGGTTTTGAATCAAAAATATGTGTTTCAAGTAATTTTAAAAACAATTCTGATTTCTTAAAAGGTGGAAAATCATCGTTGCTAAGATTTTCATAAATATTATTCTGTAGCTTGAAGAGCGCCTTTCTGGCTTTCTGGTATAATTCTAATTTGTAAATAGGATCCTTATTATTAACAAAACTTTCGACCCTGTTAAATACGTCTCGTTCAATTTGGAGACTTGAATTCTGAAAGAACCCCCTGTATATCTCGATGATATCTCCTAAATTGGAGAATTCAAGAGATAGAGATAAGCGAGCTTCGCCATCTTCCTCAATATCAATATCTTCAAGGGGAGCTCTAATTGCGTCAATGGCCAACCAAAGTTGAAACAAATGTGATCCACTTCTGTTCTTCATGAATTCGGTGAAGAATTTTAAGCCTATACTGTTATTCAATATATCCAATAACGCCAAGCTTTCAACATCTTCATCCTTATGCATTTTCTTTTCTGTTTTATTTGATAGTTTAGCTAATTTGTTATCGATTTTAGACTTAAGTAAATTTAGTCTAGACAATAAAACATTAATTTCTTTGGAAGATCCAGGGTTTTCGTCCTTGACTCTTGAAAATTGAAAACTCGTATACAGTAGTAAATGTTTTAACTCAGCGACACTTGAAATCTTAGAAATACAATGTAATGCTTCATTAAACGAATTATTATCCATGGTTTTCTGGATAGTACTATTTTTACTTATTCTTTTATAATTCTGAAGATATTCAGATGGTGAAGTCATTGATACATCTTTTGAAGTCTGGTGCTTTAACAGTCTAGTATGTTCTTCTAATGCAGCCCGCAATTGCTTAACTTGTTCCCTATGTTTTATATTATCACTGATAAGGTTCACAATTAAAAGATTATAAAAATCACCTTCTCCTAATAGCTGAATCACCCGTGATAATATAGTACACGATAGTATTTCTTTCACCAACGAAGTTCCCGCCTTATTGGTATTTTCTTCTGAGGATAAGAGATGTGGGAGAATTGAATCGACCTTATTCCTTAGATGTTTCTTCTCATTAACGTCATTTGAATTCATTGAAACAGTAACGCCTGGATGAATTCTACCTCTATCATATTGACGTGCAACTGCGATGGCATATTCCATTGAACCAGTTGGAAGTTTGGAAATATTCCCGTTTAGTTTAACACGATGCTGAATTTTGACAAAGTGGTTGAAATGATCATCAAGTATAGGCAAAATTCTAAATACTAATAGTTTAGCAAAATCGAGTTTAGCAAACCTCTCGTGTAAGTTTCGTATAACATGCTTCAATTCCTGTCTAATACTATCTTGAAAAACATTACTATTTGAAATATTTGCAAACCAGCTGTCTATAAATTCCTTAATAACTAAATTGATAAACTCTTCAAGAGTCTCTGATATAAGAAATGACTGTTCAATCACAGGTTCATTAAGCGTCCTAGTATCTTTAAAAAGTTTGTGAAGTTCATCGTTCCACTTTCTTTTATCAACAAAAGTGAATCTTGTTGACTTTTTGCTATAATTCGGAATAGGCTTGACAGATGAATCCCTAATCATCAAATAAAATCCAATAAAAGTGCAAGTAAGAAACCCAAATGAGATCAGTATCCAGTATTTGAAGGCATACCTAGTAATGAAAGTAGTGACAAAAATCGCTGCTAACCAGGTTCCAATACGAAATATTATCCCATGTTTAGCTTGAAATGACAATTGCACGTCATTATTCATTGACATCCTATCATATGGCTTATAATTGAAGTGAATACTGCAAAGACTAAAATATAAAGATTTACTGACTGTTGATATCTGATTTAGTATATACTGACACAAAATCATGCTGTCTATTAAAATTATCTATTATACATGTATACGAACCATTAGGCAGTGGTAACCGACTTTTTCTTTTTCTTAGAGGAAGAATCATCTTTGTCCATTTTATCATCCCTCTTACGTTTCTTCCCAGATTTGTTTGTGGTACTTGACGGTATCTTTTCGTCTTTATCTTTCTTGTTGGATTTCATCTTCTTAGTCTTCTTTTCCTTCTTCTCCTTCTTTATTTTCTTCGTTTCAATGTCTGGTTTATCTGATTGTATCTTTTCATTCTTTTTACTCTTCTTATCCTTTTTCTCTTCCTTATCTTTCTTTGACTTTTTATCGCGTACTTTCTTATCCTTTATATCTTTATCCTTTCTGCTACTCTTGGATTTGCTACTTTTAATTTGAGTGTCTCCTTTAAGATTCTCTGTTACCGCTTCGAACACCTTGGATGCGTCTAGTTTAGTGCTCTTGACTTGTGTGTGTTTCGTCTTCCCAACAGTTCCAGCCAAACCTTGGCCCTTAACAAACATTCTATATAATGGCGAGTTTGCTTTCCTAACATCTTTCACCACTGTTTCGCTATTTTGCTCAAAGCTGACGGCGCCTGCTGATCCATTTTTCACTTCTAAATTTTTTAACTGCCCATCGAAAAGTCTTTCCCACCATGCCTCAGCATCATTAGTATCATGTCCTAAACCTTTAGTGTCCTTTTTATGTTTGACAAGAATTGGTTTTCTCAAACCCCCTTGCTTTAATGCTTCTCCTTCTTTCCATCCATAAGATTGTAGGTAGATCTTTGCATCCATATTGCTTGCTATAATTTGTCTTCAGTCCATGGATCTATACAATTTTTTTTTTCTATGTTCATCTGGTTTCGAGCCCAGTTACCTATATTTTGATATCAAGACTCAAGTCATAGATAGGAATGCAGAATGGTTTATAGAATAGTAATATCCTTAAGATAAGATGAATAACGATATTGATGGCGAGGTTCATAAATTAAGGGAACAGTTAAGTAAATGGCCATATGATTCTAATGACCATGACAAGTTAATTGATATTTTGAGAGTAGACAGAAAGCGACAGACACAAGACTTACATGAAGCTAGACAAAATAAGGCACAATATTTTTCACTATCAACGAAGGACATAGTAAATTGGCTAGAAGATTTACAAGCTATTGAGGATAACAATCTTCGAATTAAGAGTGTCCTTGAATTTTATAGAATAGTGATTCATGATTATCCTACTGCGCAATATTGGGGGAGATGTCTTGATTTTGTATTGAACAACTATAACGATACTCAAAATATTATTAGCGAACAGATCATAAAAGAATTGTTTAAGGAAGCATTGAATGATACAGTGCATGATTTCAAGAATAGTAAAGAAATATGGGAGATTGTACTTACGTTCTTTAACAATGCACTCGATATTTCTGGCAATGAGGCCGATTTTGATACATTATTAAAGTTGCATTTGAAACGTATCTCTTATCCTCACGAAAGTATAAGAGAATCATTTTCTCAGCTATCAGGCCTTATTTCCAAGTATGATTCAAAAAAGTATGAACAACATATGTTAGCTGCAAACAAAGTATTTTCAAAGACTCTCAAAGCCCAACGATATTATGAAGAATTTGAGATTGGGATTCTGAAGGATCCAAATGATCTAAAACTTTGGATTGACTACATGGAGCTGGTGAATAAATATGCAAAGGGGATAGACGAAGTGTCGGTTTTATTTTACAGAGCGATAACTTCAGATGGAAAAAGGACGGTTGACGACCCACGATGGATATCAATTTGGCTAGCTTATATATATATACTATACCAAGAAGAAATTGATGTAAAGTCGATTGCCCTTGAGCCTGTCTTATTCAAATTTGTTAGATCCTATTCTGGATCAGCAGTCAGTTATGCGGAGTATATTCGGAATTGCCCTATATTTGAGAATGGAATTGAGCTCTTTAGTAATATGAAAATGAGAGCTTTGCAATTAGATTTAATGCATTCGAATAGCTACGATGATTGGAAGGTATTGGCGTTGGCGATCCTATCATATGAATTTTCTCTCGTTCACAGTGGGGAAAATATAGATATGATAGCCGACCTTTATACTGACGCTACTGATTATGTTGATATTGCATTAGAAAACAATAATGATGTATTTCATTCTGTTGAGAAGCTTGTGGTATCGATATATGAGACACTCGATGATCCAGATATGGCAAGAAAGGTTATAATGAAGTTATTAGAGAATTTTAATGACCAATGTGAGATCTGGTTGTATTCATATGAGTTTGAAAGGAGAAATAATTCTAGCTATCAAATAATATCGAAGCTACTTGAACGAGCTGTAGATAATTCGAAAGCATTAGACTGGCCAGAGAGAATTATCCAAGAATGGTTAAGCTTTGAACAAATTCAAGGTAACATCCACTCGTACGAAAGGGCATTAATTAAAATTGACAAGGTAGTTCGGGAAATGAGTTTGAAGCGTATGCACATACAAGAGGCATTTGAAAGTGAATCGACTGATAAGATCAAGAGAAATATTGACGACGATGAAGGGGAAGAAGATAGATCAAACAAGCGACAAAGGCGTAATTCAATAAACGAGCCAACTAGAAATAGAGAGGAGTACTCAGTTAAGATATCCAATTTACCCCAAAATATAACAGAAGAGAAATTGAAGAAATTTTTCTATGATTGTGGAACCCCTAAGGAAATTAAGTTATTCCAGGAAGATGGTAAGACACCCGAGGCAATTATAGAATGGACAGATAGTAAAGAAGTATTTGCATCTTTGACAAAGAATATGAAACTTATTGATGGTAATGAACTATCAGTTGTGAGATTCCTTGAGAGCACCCTTTGGGTTAGCAACTTTCCGCCAAGCTTCTCACATGAAAGAGTTAGAAATATATTTGAACAAGTTGGGACCGTGGTCAGCATCAGATTTCCATCCCTTAAACTGAATCAAAGTCGCAGATTTTGCTATGTTGAATATGCCAGCCCTCAACTAGCTCATTTAGCCATACTGAATTATCAGGGTAAAGAATTCGAAGATGAAATTTCGAATAAGAAGTATAGGCTTGTTGTAGATATATCCAAACCAAATTCCAAAAAATCTAAAACAAATACTGCAATCACCGAGAGAGAGATATATATTCAAAATCTAAATTTCAAATCCACTACAGAGTCTGATCTAGAAGCTCTATTCCAAACTATTGGAACCATTGATAGTGTCAAGGTTCCTTTGAATGAAAAAATGAAAAATCAGGGGAACATTAATAATGGCTATGCATTTGTAGTATTCAAATCGGAGGTGGCTGCTAAAAATGCCTTGCAATTAAATGGAACTACTTTACACGACAGAAAAATCCTGATCTCACAATCACAAGAGAAGAAGAATAATAAGCCAAAAAAAGATCCTGCCGGCATATCTAATCAATTCGAAGAATTGAGTACTATTAGTATATTCAATGTAAGTGATACTGTAAACCGCGATCAAATGACGGCGTTTCTTACTAAACGAGTTGGCCCAGTTCGTCACGTTGAGGTATTTCCAAATCAAGAGGCAGCATTGGCTGAATTTGAGGTACCGTCCGATGCTGGAAAGGCTTCTATGATTTTAACCTCTGAAGAGTTTGAAGGTAAATTACTTCATGTTGGACTGAAGAGTGATCTCAATAGAACATTGCATGGGACAAAAAACGTAACAACAAAAAAGCCAAAATTAATGGTGCCACCCACATTACAACGTAGAGTACGAAGAAAATGATTATATAGAAGAATATACCATAATTTCTAAATATACGTCAAAATATGTAATGGTTGCAAGTGATGTTCTGTACAAAAGAATAGGAAGGATCTGACTCACTGGGACCTTTTTTCAGACAAAAAAAGAAATTGTTATCTGCACTACACTCTTGAACAATATTTTGAACTTTTTTCAGCAGATTCAAAGTTCCCGACTGGATCATTAACAGCTCTTTAAACAACATGAGTGCTACTATTAAGTTAGAAAATACTGTCCGTAGAGATGCTTTAATTGATATAGAAAAGAAGTATCAAAAGGTTTGGGCTGATGAAAAGGTATTTGAAGTTGATGCGCCAACTATCGAAGAAGAACCATCGATTGATGATGCAGAAGAATTAAGAAAGAAATATCCTAAGTATTTTGCTACTATGGCCTACCCTTACATGAACGGTGTTTTGCATGCTGGTCACAGTTTCACTTTATCGAAAGTTGAGTTTTCTACTGGTTTCGAAAGAATGAATGGTAAGAGAGCATTATTTCCATTAGGATTTCACTGTACTGGTATGCCAATTAAAGCTTCTGCTGATAAAATCAAGAGAGAAATTGAAGAGTTTGGCGAAGATTTTTCGGGAGCTCCAGCTGAAGACGTTGAAGAACAACCTAAAGAAAAGGTCAAGAGGGATGATGTCACTAAGTTCAGTGCTACGAAGTCCAAGGCTGCTGCAAAGCAAGGTAGAGGTAAATACCAATTCGAAATTATGTTGCAATTAGGTATTAGTAAAGAAGAAGTTGTAAAGTTTTCTGACCCAGATTACTGGCTTAAATATTTCCCACCTTTAGTCCAGAAAGATGTTACTGCCTTCGGTGGTAGAGTTGATTGGAGACGTTCTTTTGTTACTACCGATGCTAATCCTTACTATGATGCGTTTGTTAGATGGCAAATTAATAGATTAAGAGATTGTGGTAAGATTAAGTTTGGCGAAAGATACACTATTTACTCTGAAAAAGATGGTCAAGCTTGTTTAGATCACGATAGACAATCAGGAGAAGGTGTAAACCCACAAGAATACACTGGTATTAAGATCGAAGTCACCGAATTTGCAGAACAAGCTAAGAAGATCTTCCAAGAAAATAATTTTGATCTTGAAGGTAAGAAAGTTTACTTAGTAGCTGCAACTTTAAGGCCTGAAACCATGTACGGTCAAACTTGTTGTTTTGTTTCTCCAAAGATTGACTATGGTATATTTGATGCCGGTAATGGTAACTACTATATTTGTACTGAACGTGCTTTTAAGAATATGTCATACCAAAATTTGACACCTAAGAGAGGTATCTATAAGTCGAGTGTACAGATCAATGGTAAGGCTTTGATAGGTTCTAAAATTCATCCTCCGTTAGCCGTGCACAAGGAATTGCGTGTCTTACCTATGGAAACAGTTTTGGCTTCAAAGGGTACAGGTGTCGTCACTTGTGTACCATCTGATTCTCCAGATGATTACATCACCACCAAGGATTTAATTAACAAGTCAGAATATTACAACATTGAAAAAGAATGGGTTTGTGATGATATCATTCCAATTATCAGGACTCAAAGATATGGTGACAAGTGTGCTGAGTTTTTAGTGAAGGAATTAAAGATTCAATCTCCTAAAGACGCTGTTCAATTGGCCGAAGCAAAGGAATCTGCTTACAAAGAAGGGTTTTATAATGGTACAATGATTTTTGGGAAGTATGCTGGTTTACCATCTGCGGATGCTAAATCAAAGGTTAGAGCTGATTTGGTCGCATCTAATGATGCTTTTGTCTATAATGAACCTGAAGGTCTTGTTATTTCCAGATCTGGTGACGAATGTATTGTTTCCTTGGAAGACCAATGGTATATTGATTACGGTGAAGAATCATGGAAATCTCAAGCTTTAGAATGTTTAGCCGATATGCAAACATTCGCAAAGGAAACCAGACATGGTTTTGAAGGTGTTTTAGATTGGTTAAAGAACTGGGCGGTTACCAGAAACTTCGGTTTAGGTACAAGGTTACCATGGGATAAACAATACTTGATCGAATCCTTATCGGACTCTACTATTTATATGGCCTATTATACTATTGCCCGTTTCTTGCACTCTGATTACTATGGTGCTAAAGCAGGTAAGTTTGATATTAACCCAGAATTAATGACCGATGAAGTATTTGATTTTATCTTTAATCGTCGTGAAGACATCAATACTAATATTCCAATTGACCAATTAAAGGAAATGAGAAGAGAATTCGAATATTTCTATCCATTGGATGTAAGAATTTCTGGTAAGGATTTGATTCCAAACCATTTGACTTTTTTTATCTATACACACGTTGCCTTATTCCCAAAGAAATTATGGCCAAAGGGTATTAGAAGTAATGGTCACTTGATGTTGAATCATGCTAAGATGTCGAAATCAACTGGTAACTTCATGACATTGGAACAAATTGTTGAAAAATTCGGTGCTGATGCTTCTAGAATTGCTTTAGCTGATGCTGGTGATACGGTTGAAGATGCAAACTTCGACGAATCAAATGCTAACGCTGCTATTTTACGTTTGACTACTTTGAAAGACTGGTGTGAAGAAATCATTAAAAATAAGGACTCGTTAAGAACTGGCCCAACTGACTCATTCTTCGATGTTGCATTCGAAAATGAAATGAATGATTTAATTGGTAAAACGTATGCTCAATTCGAAATCACCAATTTCAAGGCTGGATTGAAATATGGTTTGTTCGATTACCAAACTGCTAGAGATTACTACAGGGACTCTGTATCTTCAAACATAGGTATGCACAAGGATCTTGTGATCAGGTACATTGAGACTCAAGCATTATTATTAGCCCCTGTTGCTCCACATTTCAGTGAGTACATTTTCCGTGATGTCTTGGGCAACAGTGGATCTATCCAATCTACTAAATTCCCAAGTGCTTCCAAGCCTGTGGAAAAATCGATTTCAGATGCTTTAGAGTATGTTAGAGACTTATCTAGATCTATTCGTGAAGCCGAAGGTAACGTCTTAAAGAAGAAGAAGGGTAAGCCATCTGAAGTTGATCCTTCCAAGCCTGCTAAATTGAGATTATTTGTTGCGACATCTTTCCCAGAATGGCAAGACAACTACATCGAAATTGTCAGACAATTATTTGAATCCCAAACCTTGGACGACAACAAGACAATAAAGGAAAAGGTTGGTAAAGACATGAAGCGTGCCATGCCTTTCATTTCTTTATTAAAGCAAAGATTAACCAACGAAGATCCTCAAACTGTCTTCAACAGAGAATTGACATTTAATGAAACCGATGTCATCAAATCTGTCTTGGCCAACGTCAAGAAATCCTCTGTTTCGGTGGATATTCAAGATGTCGAAATCATTTCCTTTGACAGTGGTGCTAAGAAGGGTATAAACGTCATAACTGGCGAAGAAGTAGAAATCACTATCACTGGTAAGATCATTGACAGTGCTGTTCCTGGTGAACCAGGTATTATGATTAACAACATTTAAATTATATAGTTTACTACCTATAATTACTTGTTTATCACTTCCTATATAGACTATAATATACTAGTGTTTATTTTGACTCATCTTTCTAGACTAGATTCGTATTTGTAGTTCCGGTAAGAAGTACAAAATTCTTTTCTATTGTGGTTTTTTTTTTCATAATCACTCCTGTATACTAAAACTAATAAAGAACGAAAGGGAGTTATAGATAAAATATCAACAACGGACAAAGAGTACATACGTAACATAGTGGCTTTTCAAAACACCTAGACTAAGTGTTGGATTACTCTATTGAATTTTAGAGACAAGTAAAGGCGTTGAATTTAGAAGCTTTTTCAATATTGGAATAAACAATAAATCCACACACGTATCAGTCAGTGGTGTTAATACTTCAACAAAATAAATAAACATACATAACTGGAGGATATCAGTATATGAGTCCTAAAACGGATACAAACTAATACAACAGAAAACCTATGAGTTCTAATAATCAACCATCCTTGTACCCGTTGCAAGATGCTGTTGCCAAATTTGACTGTAAACCAGTGAATCCTAACGGAAAGCTCTCAGATGTTTGGTTACAAAATGAATATCAAAAGTTGTCAATAATTTCTGATCAGCTGGGACGCGAGAGCAGAAAGAGAATAAGGAATAGAGAGGTGACGGTTGGTGAAGAAGATGCTTATGACAGAGAAGGAACTGAGTCTTGTGACGATATGATTATCTCCGACACAGATTGTAATAGCCAAATATCGGGGCAGAGTGCTATAATATCGGGCATATCATCTTTCAGAGAGAACGGATTGGTGCATCCTCCTAAGCGGAGATTAATGAGTGTTCCTTCACCTACAAATAGTGTTACTCCAACCGTTACTGAAACAAACAATAGTAACGAGACTTTATCACAGACCAACCAAATTATCCAGGAGCATATAATAGTGCAACCACGTACCCCAACTGCGATAAATTCACCTACCAATACGCCTATTTCTGATATAGAAGAGCAATCACAACAGTTACCGTTGCCTTCTCCAAGTGCATCACCTGTACAATCTACAGGTGATAAGATTTCTAATTTCGATCCAATAGAACACCAGTTATCTACTATACCTACAACGCAATCGGAGTTAATGGAAATGATGGTGAATCTTTCCGGATACTTGAGTGAAAAGAACCAGAATCATTTCATATTTAGGTTGTTACAGAACACTAATAGATCCTCATTAAGTTCTTTTAATGGATTAATAGAAAATAGTTTAAGAAGAGACTTGATAAGTAACTTGCCTCTTGAAATTACTTACAATATCTTGTCACACTTGGATTACAAAGCGTTATGTTCACTTGCGCGTGTATGTTCGAACTGGTACAAGATTATTGACAATTCGGACATCTGGACACAGCTACTCAAGAAGGACAAGCTCATTTTAAGTGATGAAGCAATAGAACAAGAAATTACTAATCCACAAAAATTGTTGAAAGAATGGTCTCTGAAGTCTGATATTAACGAAGCAAATGTCATGCAGACATTATACAAGAAGCGTTGTACTATATTAAATAGGTGGATGGATCCTAATTACGAACCGAAACGAATTAGTGTTCCTGGACACGGAAGTCACGTTGTAACATGCTTGCAGCATGATGATGAAAAGATTATAACGGGTGTTGATGATAAACTAATAAACATTTATAGTACGAAGACAGGGGAACTATTAAAGGTGTTAAAAGGCCACGAGGGGGGTGTATGGGCGTTGAAGTATACGGGCAATACGTTGGTGAGTGGATCCACAGATAGAACTGTTCGGGTGTGGAACATTAAGACAGGAAAATGTACTCATGTATTTAGAGGACATACTTCTACTGTGAGATGCTTGGATATTTTACATCCAGTGAAAATAGGAAAGAATGATAATGGGGAAGATATAATATTCCCAGAGGTTCCATTACTAGTCACCGGGTCTAGAGATCATAACTTGCATGTTTGGAAATTACCACTAATGAATGAAGGGGATGAATCTGAAAATGAAATTATTGGACAGCAAACTTACGATAGTAATGAAATTGAGAATCCGTACTTAATTACCGTCTTATTGGGGCATACGCAATCTGTGAGATCGGTTTCTGGATACGGTAATATTATTGTATCAGGCTCTTATGATACAACTGTTAGAGTCTGGGACCTTCTTGATAACGGCAATTGTAAGCATGTTTTAGCTGGCCATGGAGATAGAATTTATTCTACCGCATTGAATTTCCATACTAAGCGATGTTATTCTGGTTCGATGGATTCGTCTATAAATGTATGGGATATTGAAAGTGGGAAATTATTACACACACTAGAGGGGCATAGTTCTCTTGTTGGGTTGCTAGAATTATCAGATGAATACTTGGTATCAGCTGCAGCTGATTCAACGTTAAGAGTGTGGAATCCAAAATCGGGGGGCAATATATGTAAGTTAGAAGGACATAGCGGAGCCATTACCTGCTTTCAGCATGATAGCCTTAAAATTGTTAGTGGCAGTGAAAGAATGTTGAAGTTGTGGGATATTAATACCGGAGAATTTGTCAGAGACCTACTTGTTGATATTACTGGTGGTATATGGCAACTTCGTTTTGATTACAATAGATGTGTTGCCGCCGTTCAACGGAGTAGAAATGATACAGATGAAACTTTCATCGAAATCCTAGATTTCAGCAGTCCACCATCACAAACTGTAACTGAAATAGCTGATAACACTAATAATGATATAGCTTAGATTAGTTTATAGCATATGCTCAAAAATACATAATTTTGAAAGATCCAGCGACAAGTAATATTAAAAAAATATTACAAGTAAATATATATCCACTTATACCGTTTGCCTTTTTTCACTTCGAAAAGTTTCCTTAGCTTTGTAGCTGTAAGAAATTACAAAAATACTAAAAAAAAATATTCATTATCATAAAATCGAGATTATCTAATTATGTATCCTCATCTACTAAGTATAATTTTCGGAGTTTCTGAAACCTCTCTAAACCTTCGTCAATATCGAAACTATTTTTTCTTTTCTGAGCAGAATTAAGTATATGATTAATATCGATATCATAGTCAGTATGAAACTTGCCCTCATTATGGACGCTACCGGAGGACGTGACTATATTAATATAATATTGGTAAAGAGATGTAGACTCATCGATCAAATTGATATTACAACACCAAGGTTTATGCTCTTCAACCAAATCAATTTTATCCTTATCCAAATCATCAAACTCTGATTCATCAGGACCCGATTCAGTATATAAAGTATCGTGGTGTTCATACCCACCCTGTATCACAGGAGGAAATTTACATGGAGTTAAAACTCCAGAAGATGATAAATTCACACCGAAATTTGTAGCTGCAATGTAATTGTTTTTCTCAATCGGTTCGTGGTATACTGAATTCAAGAATATTCTCTTGTTACACTTGGAGCATATTAAAAGAAGTACCAAGTGATTTGAGAAAGATTGAATATGCAAATCCCAACCTAATACTGCTATTTTATAAATCCAGCGTGGAACCCTCTCCAATAGATTGAAAAAGTTCTCCTTATTATCCTTGAAATAGCGGTCTAACAACCAATTCTTTGAAATTTTAATGAAATCTGTGAAATTTGGGTTTTCGTCTTCATTAAATAATGTTTCTTTAAACAAACTCGACGTGCTGTTTAGAAGATCCAAATTACTAGCCAAATTCTTTAGGTTCTTCAAATACTCATTAGTGAGCAATTCGTTAGTGCTAGATATGAATGGCCGTGGATAATATACCCCATCTAAGGGAGTCTCGAAATTTATCCAAGGACAGTCTGAACTGTGTCCGAATTTCCTTATTTGCTTAGAATACCCACTGATCAATGACTCATTAAGTTCTTGGTAGTCTTCTAAATCGAAGTCAAACGGTACAAATGTAGATGGTGAATTTATGTCATTGAATTTGAGGATTAGTTGATGGTTACATGAAGTGCACAAAAGATGGTTCTTCGTATTATTATTTGCTGAAATAGAAACACATTTCCAGCCATTTCTAGCGCATTCTAGCTCATCTATCTCGTTCTGATCACTAGAAAACGGTATATGCCAATTTAAGGCTGTATACGTAGATAACCGTTTTAACAAGTCATTTCTATTATAAGGATCAAAAATAGGTGACTGTACCATACTAATATCTAGTTTTGGCTTATTATTGTTCTTCAGTTTATGATAGTTGTAATGGTTTTTGGCTTTGATTTTCTTGAAATATTGTATATCTGGGTGGTTGAAAAACTTATTCACCATAGCTCCCTCGTCTTGATCAATATACGTCTCGTGTGATGGCGAGGAAATGAGTTCGAAATATTCTTTAAGTACCTTAGGTGTGCCTGACATTATATCCTTCATATCTTCTATAAAAATACTGTTTAAATATATTTTGAATGTATTCTATATGGCTTAATCAGAGTCAGATTGTAACAATTTTTTGAAAATTCACGTGATAGAGATATAAGATAGCGAAGGAGATATAGATGATTATATTTTAAACATGATACTTGAACCATGGTCAAAAGAGATCTTTCTGAAGATATCATTGATAATTCAATAAGTAATAAACAACAGAAACAGGCTACAGACTCCAAAGGATTTAATATACTGGAAAGATGGATGGACCCAACATATACACCTAGGCGAGCTAGTGTTCCTTTACACGGCAGTCATGCTGTAACATGTTTGCAGCATGATGATGAAAAGATTATAACGGGTGTTGATGATAAGCTAATTTACATTCATAACACGGTGAATGGGAAACTTTTAAAGGTGTTAAAGGGCCACCAAGGGGGTGTTTGGGCTTTGAAGTATACGGGAAATACTTTGGTGAGCGGATCCACAGACAGAACTGTACGGGTGTGGAACATCAAGACAGGAAAATGTACTCATGTATTTAGAGGACATACTTCTACTGTGAGATGTTTGGATATTTTACATCCAGTGAAAATAGGAAAGAATGATAATGGAGAAGATATAATATTCCCAGAGGTTCCATTACTAGTCAGCGCATCGAGGGATCATAGTATGCGTGTTTGGCAATTACCACTTGATAATGAAGAAGCGGATGAGGATATATATCGGGAAGTTTATGATTACGATGAAAATGAAAACCCATATTTGGTTGACATCTTATTGGGGCATATACTAACTGTGAGATCGGTTTCTGGATACGGTAATATTATAGTATCAGGCTCTTATGATACAACTGTTAGAGTCTGGGACCTTCTCGATAACGGTAATTGTAAGCATGTTTTAGCTGGCCATAGAGATAGAATTTATTCAACGGCATTAAATTTCCATACTAGGAGATGTTATTCTGGTTCGATGGATTCGTCTATAAATGTATGGGATATTGAAAGTGGNAAANTATTACACACACTAGAGGGGCATAGTTCTCTTGTTGGGTTGCTAGAATTATCAGATGAATACTTGGTATCAGCTGCAGCTGATTCAACGTTAAGAGTGTGGAATCCAAAATCGGGGGACAATATATGTAAGTTAGAAGGACATAGAGGAGCCATTACCTGCTTTCAACACGATAGCCTTAAAATTGTTAGTGGCAGTGAAAGAACGTTGAAATTGTGGGATATCAAAACTGGAAAATGTGTGAGAGACCTACTAGATGATATCACTGGTTGTGTATGGAATCTTCGCTTCGACAATAATATATGTATTGCTGCCGTTCAACGTCGTAGAAATGACATAAATGAAAATTTCATTGAAATATTAGATTTTGGCAGTCCATAATCAGATGAAAACTCTTCAATATTTCCACCATTGCAGGCAATTGAGAGGATTGATTTTGTTACGACCAAATAATCGACAGTTATGTTTATTCATATATAAATCATTGAAAAGGATCGATTTGATCTCTAGTATATAGAAACGAATTATATTTAGTCACGTGAAAGTATATTGAGGTTCTTGAAAATATAGTGGACATAAACCTGTTAGTAGTAACGATTAGTTCTAAAAACCTCTAAGAATAAATAGCAGAGCAACATGGCAAAGAGACCAGTATTGGAAGATGTGTTGGATGATGAGATTGATAACATGGACATGGATATTGCCCAATTTGATCCATCACTCAGAACTCCAATAGCACCAGTCCAGCCAGGACCTCAAATTACAAGGTCACAAGATCAAGAACCACCATTATTTCCTAATTTCCCACCCCAAGAGCAAGACAAAAGTGTTGAGCGTAAAGATATTGTTGATCCTAACAAGTTTACTGCGGAGGAAAGAGCTGAATTAAAAAAGTTTCAAATAATCTATCCATGTTACTTTGATAAGTCAAGATCGCATAAGGACGGAAGAAGAGTAGCAGAGTCTAAAGCGGTCTCGAATCCATTAGCAAAGACTATATCGGATGCGTGTCGTCATTATAATTTACCAGTAATGTTGGAATTAGATAAGACACATCCCCAAGACTTCGGTAACCCAGGTAGAGTGAGAGTATTAATCAAAGATAACAATAAGAATGGATTGCCAGTCGATTCGAGATTCAAAACAAAGAGAGCAGTTTTAAATATCATAGCCGACTACTTGAAAACGCATCCAACAACGTTAGATAGCATTGGACCAAAAAGTGGTATTCCATTACCAAGTGAATATGAGACCGGTTTCGAGCCGGGTGAAATACCTAAAGTCAAAGGGTTCAAAATGAATACTATTGTACCTGTTCATTCTGAATTGACTATCAAGCACCCAATGACAAAGAGTATTTATGATCCTGAACCAGAGCAGCCACAGGTTAAAGCTCCACAAGCACCTAAACAACCAAAAAAGAAGGTTATGAAGATTAGAGGTTAATTAGTACAATTCGCTAAGATAATCTCGTTGTATTTATATACATATATAAAATAAATAATAGTGTGAACATATTCGACGTCAAACTCCAGTTTACGATGTTTTAAGCATCCTTAGGAGCGTATTGCTTTCTGTAGAATTCAATAGAACTCAATTCTTCTGGTGTGATCTTGTTCTTCAAGTGTTTAACAATATCGGACAAGGATACGATCGAAATAACAGGGAGGCCATATCTTTTCAGGACTGCTTGAGTGGCCGATAACTCGGAGTCAGCTGTAGTTTCTTGTCTATCTAAAGCAATAATAGAACCAATGACTTCACCTTTTCCTTCCTGAATAATGGCAAAAGCTTCATTGATAGCAGTACCTGCGGTCATGACATCATCAATAATCAAGACCTTCTTTCCCGCGAGTTGACATCCTACAATAGATCCACCTTCACCATGGTCCTTCTTTTCCTTTCTATTGAAGGAATACCCAACATTACCGTATGTTTCAGGATCCAATTCGGCTAATTTGGCAACAGTGATGGCAGCCAATGGAATACCCTTGTAAGCAGGTCCAAAAATGATATCGAACTTTAAGCCAGACTTAATAATCGCATTGGCATACGAAGTAGCCAAGGCTGATAACAACTTACCAGTGTTGAAGAACCCTAAGTTAAAGAAGTATGGCGATTGACGGCCTGATTTTAAGGTAAATGTACCAAATTGTAAAGCTTGGGATTCTAAAGCAAGATCTAAAAATTGGGCTTGAAAATTTTCCATTGTACTATCGATTTTTTTTACTAAATTGTTCTTACAAGATTGCTTATCTCCTCTTATAAAACCGCTAATTACTAACTGATATGAAAGTATTCAACCTTTTTAAAAGAGAAGAAGAGAGAGAAAGAAAGAAAAAGAGAAGGAAATAATGAATTATTTAATTTCGATGTAGCGCAGATCGATGCGCTTAAATATAATGAAATTTTTCATTCGCATCATCGCTATCTCTGTTTGGATTTGGATAAATTTGTACAGATAAGCTAATTGTACATCAATTTTATGCTATAAACAGACAGGTTTTCGAAATCATCCGAATGAGAGGTCACCCTATTGGTTGATAACATGTCTACAATGAAAGAAAGAGAAGTTATTCTTAACTCAATTGAAGATGAATATAGGCACGATCTTTCGCTTCACTTATACTCGACGTTCCTATTCCACCAAATAAACCCTCTTTTCCCTAGACGTAACTGGGCAAGTTGGCCATTACCATTCGATCGAGTTCCTGACCCTCGTTCAAGTAAAACATTTGTCGATTCAGAATATTTTATAGAACAATTTGATGATATAGATCATGAAACTAATGTGAACCTAGAGAAGGAGTTAAATATGAGAGAACGGGTATCTACAGACGATGAAGATGAATTGGAGGATACTGGAGATGATGACGAGGTATCTATGAAAGACGAGGTAATACACGAAAATAAACAAAAACGGTATATGAGGATACGGTCGGTTGCAACTAAGGAAACACTATCAAATAGTAAAGTTGATATTATGATAGAATTACATGCATTACTAGAAAAGAAAATACATAGCAAACTAAATGATGTTGCAGATAAACGAAACCTAACTATGAGTGCTGATGTCTCATCGGCAATGACTAATGAAGTATGCAAGAAATTGGCAAATAAGGTTGATCATCTTGTTAACAGTATTGTCAATTTTCAGAAACAAGGGAAAACAAGGTTGTCTTCCAGTCGTCCATATCCACGATTGTTAAATTGGCAGGATATTTTATTAGCAGGACTTGATGTAGATGAATCACACATGAAAATATTGGACAATACCAGTCATGCCAATCTTTATCAGAAATGTGAAAGAATTTTTGATAACCCAAAGTATGCTTACGAATATGATGATAAAGAAGAAGAAGAAGAAGACGAAGAAGGAGGCGAAAAAAATCAGACGAATGATGTGCCTGATACATATGTTATTGACCCTGAACAAAGAGAGGAAGTAGCTACGACAGACACACTGAAGCAAAAGTTTCATTACTTAGAATATCTATCAAAAGTAGAAGAAACGCATCGTGGCCTTATAAATTATAAAAATTTTAAACAAAGGGTGCTTAAAAACCGAAATCAAGAAGATAAATTAAGAGAATTAAAAAAAGCAATATTCATGAGAAAGTTGAATCTTCAATCCAAATATAGTAACATAGATTGGAGCAAGACGAAAAAGCGACCAAAGATTCAAGACCGGAGGACCCCTAAGAAATACAGGATACAAAATGAGGACAAAGACTCCCAAAAAGAAGATGCATTAGCGCATGGTGGAATACAGTTAACAGCAGACGATTTTACAGTAAATATATAATTAAATGAGCATTATTAGTATATAAGTATGAAATATTAAATTATTAAGCATTAAATTAGTAATATAATTAATGAGTAGATATCATTAACTCTTCTAGAATAAATAAAAAATGAAACATGTGTAAAAAAAAATCGTCATTCATAAGGCTTAGTTTCTCTTTTGAAAGGTACTAGTGATTTCGGTTTCGAAAATGACATCCCAGAATCTACTTGTAACACCAAAACCCATTTCATAGTTCTTGTAATGGTGTTCCAAATGGTAAGTTTTGATATCTTGCAAGAATTGGGGCAATTTGGTATGGTGAATAACGTAATGAATAACATCATATAAAATGTATCCTAAAGTACCACCAGCAAAACCAGAACATGCCATGTAGAACGGGAATATAGCAAATACTAATCTGTAGAACGGATATGCTAAAAGAACAAATAGAGTTGGTGGCAACACCAATCTATATCCATCCATTGGTAAATAATGATGAACACCGTGCAAAAGGAAATGGAGTGTAAGTGCAACCGGATGCTCAGGTAAATACCCATCTAAATGGAACAAAAACCTGTGCATACAATATTCAACTAATGTCCAAACAAACAATCCCATAACCCAGAAACTCAACGCAACCAATTTGTCTTGATTGACAAAACCAACGTAGAAAATGTAGAAGTTAGGTGGTAACCAGACTGCTGGTACTACCCACCATGGTGTCAACGAAAGAGGTTCTAAGAAATTACCGAATAACGGGGCTGATCCTTTCCCATAATGTCTAGGTCTGTGCACCTGATCAAGATAAAACTCCTTCGAAAAGGTACTGAACAACATCTGAGGAATCAATGGCTTGTTCAAGTCCAAAAACTTATGTTTCTTGATATCTTCTTCATAATCGGTTTGAATCGATAACTTTTCCGCAGGTGGCAACCTATCGTGGAACTCATAAAGATCAACAGAACTGGAATCTTCTAACCTAACTTCCACTGGAGTATTATTCTTGTTATTTAACAATTCTCTTTCTTCTTCGCCCGTGGCTAAGTATCCAACCAACATTTCATCATCCAACATCTCGTATGCACTTTCTGAATGTTCATGGGAAACCATGTCCGCCATAATTGCTGTAATATCTTTTCCGGCGTAAGGTAAGATTATATCTCCTCCACCCGGATGTTGATCAATAAATCCACTAATATTGTAAACTTTTCTGTTGTATAAGGTAACCCAGCAATCATTCTGTGTATTATGCTTAACAACCTCGGCACTAGCTAATAATGGCAAATTTCTAGACATATTATATCAAATTGACTTTTTGGCAGACGTAGTTCAATAACAATAAATTCTAAATTCAATTCTATATTAATATTCCTAAGATTTCGATATATATGAAATGCTATGGTGGCCTGACTTATTCGTTTATTTACTGTTTAGCGAAGCCGATAAAAAAAACAATAAAAAAAAAAAATCAGGTGAAAAGAAATTAATAGGAGTAGTACGCGCGGAATTCAATATATACATGTATCGATGAGCCTTCTTAAGTATGTAGTATTTATTGACTATATAGTATTTGTACGTATTTGGATCACTTTGA